GGGAGGGGTGGGGGGGAAGGTATTTTAAGATATAGGTTTTCTTTCTCATTACCCTATTCTGACTTCCCCAAGACGAGTCTGTTTTGCCCGTGACAGTAATCGGTGAGTGACCTCTCCCTGTCCTTATCTCGACCCACGAGCCTTTCGTTATATCTTCTCTCCCCTGTCCAGCTGAGGAGGGGAGCGATAGAGCGGCTTTGGTGGGACCCTGGTGTCCAGCCTGGGTCAACCCGCCACAGTGTGCTTTCCCTCCCTCTTTCAGTTCAATTGTTGCATACCAGCCGGCGGGTGACAACAGCCACACGTTTGATGTCACAGCGATGTTCAAGTCCATTGGGATCTTCCTGGGGATATTCAGTGGATCTTTTGCAATGGGAGCTGCTACTGGAGTTGTGACAGCTTTAATATCCTTTTTGTTGTTTTTTCCAAGTGTTTGCATAACAGCTGCTTTTTTGTCTGCACTGCATTTCACCGAGACCCAGTGTTTCATGATTTTTTCACCTAAATTAATAAAAGGCGATGCCATAGTCTTATTAAGTGCAGGCTATGTAGTGTTGCTGCGATACATGACTGGATTTGATATCCTCTTAGCCTACAGTTTCTCTCCAAATTGTCCTTAACCATCTGCAACGTCACCAAGTTCACCAAACTTCGGGAGTTCCCGTTGCTGGAGACCGGTTTGTTCTTCCTGATGTCCTGGAGCACGTTCCTGCTGGCCGAAGCGTGCGGCTTTACAGGCAAGCTCCAGCACAGCCCTGCGTCTGGGACGGAGATCTGCAGGGATGATGGGCCTGTTGAGTTTTGTTTCTCGCGGTATCGATTGCAGCCGGGGCTCTCCCTCTGCTTTCAGAAGTTTAATTACTCTGGGTTCTGGGGTTATTGCATTGTCCCCTACACTGCTGGGGTGCAGCTCGGCTCCCTTTTCATGGCCAGGACTCTAACGTGATGCTCTGCTCCCCAGGTGTGGTGGCCGTACTCTTCTGTGGGATCACACAGGCCCATTACACCTATAACAACTTGTCTACAGAGTCCCAACACAGAACTAAGCAGGTGAGAGCTCCTCAGCCCCCTTCAGCCTCTGTGAATTTCAAGTTCAGTATTTTTTCCTTCCCTCTACCCGGAATTAGGTGCATCTGTCTTTCTACAGATGGATTTTACTAGGGTTGCTTCTGCAGAAGAATTTATTGCATGATGGATGGGCTAGCATGTTTTTCTTGTTAAATCTGTGTTATGTCTAACTCTCTTTTAATTTGTTTTTCAGTTGTTTGAGCTTCTGAATTTCTTGGCAGAAAACTTCATCTTCTCCTACATGGGACTTGCACTGTTCACCTTCCAGAACCATGTCTTTAACCCTACCTTCGTGGTGGGGGCTTTCGTATCCTTTAGAGCTCATTCTATAAAACGAGAAAAGAAAAGAAAAGAGAGAGGTGCCTCATTCCTAAGTTGCGTTTTTTCATGCAAATGTGTGGGGCTTTTCTCAGTCAGTCTAGCTTTATTTTTAAAAAGGGATTTCTCCTGTGTAGTGGTGTCTTTGCTGGTTATTTTAAGAAGATGGAGGTTCTTTTCCTTGCTTTTCTGTTTGTGGTTTTTTCCCCCCTCTCCTCATCTTGTCTCCTTTTGTGGGCATTCGAGTTAGCTGCTGCAGGGACTCAGCATTCGATGTGAACGTGGTGCTGAAGCGCCAGGCTTCATCGTGTGGCGGCGTGGCACCAGGGGTGGCTTTGCAAATGGGGATCACCTGCTATAGCCATTTATTTCCCCTTTTTTCTGCTATCCCATTTGGTTGACCCTGAAAAAAGCTTTTTTTTGGTCAAATAACACAGTTAAAGCTATAGTAGATGCCTCTGAATGATGTAATGAGAAAGAATTTCCCCTTCTGCAGGCTGATGGTAACGGAAACAAGCTATCGGCCCTGGTATGTCTCAGAAAAACAAGGATTTTGAAGGAATTTTTTTCATGTCTCAGGGAAGCCAGCTCAGATGCGCAGAATTATTTTCACCCTTTGCAATGAAGCAGGTTTATACCAATAAATAAAATGTTATCTCTGCCAATGCTGGCTCATGGGTTTGCAGCGGGGTCTGCTGAATTTCCCCGATGAGCTTTTGCAGGGCTGCAGTGGGGTAAAGGGAGCGAGGTGCAGGGAGATGCCTTTTGGGTGGTTAGATTGAAGTTTTGTGCTGTGCCTCTTCAGCAAAAACTAACTCGCTGATGAAATAGCTCATTCATGAGAGAGATCATGAAATACGTCTCTTATGCAAATTCATGATGTTCAGGAAAGAACATAAAAGCTGGAAGCATTTTCCATATTATTCAAGGCTGCACTGAATACTGGATCCAAGATTACTTTTGCCATCTGGGTGCTGGTATTAAAAGACACAGCTTCAAAGATAAAAGCAATATGAAGGAGCTGGTGATTCTTGTATCTCGCAGGCTATGAAAACAGAAAGAGTATTAGATTTTTTTTTTTTTTCCCCTCCCCTTCTCAACTGCTGCTGCTTTCATTTTGCTGAATAATCTTCGGGAATGGGACTTGGCTTAAAGCTTCAAACCCAGCTGTGAAGTGCGGCATGCTGGGGAATGTCAGAGGGGTTGTGGTAGCTGTGATAACTTGAGCCTCACAGAGGACAAATAATTCTTGTGGTGGAAGACGGACCCGGTGGGGGAGAGCGTACAGTGGGAAATGGAGGTTTTTCTCTCCTCTCACTCATTGAACCTGCCCTCTCATCATTTCCCTTGTATATTTGTGCTTGTCTCTGTATGGTATTCCTGAATTGCAATGTGTGCTTTGCTCTGGTGAGGCAGTACCATGCTCTTCCCACACTACTGTAGCACTCAGAGCTGGGTTATTATCTTTGCATCCAGAGGACTGGCGTTTCTGAGGCTCCCCGGTGTTTCTGTCAGGCAGCAGAAATTGGCTCTGTGTGCAGGGGTGGGATGCAATGGGAGACATAGAAAGTGCAATTTCCTTAATGTGTGCAAATACAGCTTGCTATCTTCCTAGGAAGAGCTGCCAATATTTACCCACTATCATTTTTACTGAATTTGGGGAGAAGAAATAAGATCGGAACGAATTTACAGCATATGATGATGTTTGCTGGTATGTTGTTGCATGTTTGCCTCTGACCATGTGGCCCATCTGCAATTCCTTGCCCCGAGCACCTGGAAATATTCCTTATTCAATTCTAAATCTCTTATGGGCAATGTCTGGAGAAGAGGCTGGGCAGGAAAGGGCTCCCTTAGGCTCAGTGGTGTGAATGCCTTGGTTTTGAGACGTAGGAATGAGCTTCCCCTGTCCTGCGCTTGAGTGCACAGCATGGGGCAGGAGGAGGGTTTGCCTTTCTGGGCTGGGAAAG